CAAACTAGTACAGTATATAAGCATTTGCTTATGTGTATTACGGTATGTGATGGCAAAGTGTAAGCCCAGTGTATGCCAATGTCGCTCTGGGGACTGTCGACAACAAATTTTGCTTATCCTTTGCACCATTAGTCGACCGGCACTTTACTCTGTGTTTTTTACTATCAATTCATCTCTCTATTGCAAACGGTAGGTTTGGGATCAATTTTGCCATTGCTTTCAATCAATGCTTTTATAGTTATATGCATTTTACAGTATATGTTGTATCTGTATGTATATAACCTTTTTTGATAATGTTTTCTGTAAGTAATATAGACTCGTTTTCACAAAACTTCAAATATCATATATTTTTATACTCAATAAGTTATAGTTTTGTGTATACTGAACAATATTATATGTTATGTCAAGTATTGAAATATTTTTATATATGGTATATCATAAAAACTTTTTTAGCGATACATTCATTTGAAATTCAAATAAATATTATTTTTATAGATTTACTATACTTATCATAATATATTGTATGTTTAATATCTATACTTATATTATACTGTATATATCTATATATTAATGTTATATAACATACCGTATATTGCGACTAAGTAAGTGAAAATGCAATTATGTTTAAGTGGATTTTCAAGCTATTGTGTTAACTATATTTAGTAATAGTTTAGAAGTATATCATATGAATTGCTAACACTTTTCACTTTTTCACTCATTTTCATCTCATTTTGTTTTATAAATAAGTCGTCTCTCTCTCTCTCTCTCTCTCTCTCTCTCTCTCTCTCTCTCTTATTTGTATGTCATATATTTTTAAAAACAATTTGCTATTTACTCAAAATGTATACACAAAAAAGCACATAAAAGTTGATAGCTTTTTATTTGAGAAAATGTTGAAAATGAATTCATCACATAATCAAATGATTCATTGGCTGCCTATCTATCTGTTCATTGAAAAGCTAAAGCAAAACATTAATTTCGATCCTAAAGTATAAACAATTTTGTGTTTTCTGGTGCATCACTATTACACTAAAGAGTACAACTCTATAGCACTAACATTAAATGTGTTGCAAAAGAGATGATTAGAGAGAAAGAAAGAAAGAGAGAGAGAGAGAGAGAGAGAGAGAGAGAGAGAGAGAGACTGGAAGGCAATGCAATCCATCTTTGATTCAGTTGGGAAATGCAATGCCAAAGAGGAACTGTATTTCTTATTCCTCGGCAATAGTAGTCACTGTAATATCTGTTGTATTTTTCGTATGTGTTGTTAGAGTAATGGCATCGAAAAAGCAGTGAAACAAAAGTTAAGTAAATGCAGTGCCAGTCAGTCACTCATTCACTTTGTAGAGCACCGTTAGGCCAACAAAACAAAATTGCAATAACTATACGGCCAAAGATATAGATAGCAGGAAATGGTATGTATTGAACAAATGGATGTATTGGTGCCCTAACTGTTGGTCGGCTCATCACAACTACATCGCTAGTGAATTGAACTGTACTATCATTTAAAGGCACACACTGTTTGTTTGGACCATTGGGACTATCGCTCAAATCCAGACTCTCATTGATTAAGTGAGTGAATGTATACCTAAAAAGTTGGAGAATTAATCTAAAAACTATGACTTCTTTGATCATAAATAATATAACTAAATGATGATTGAGTCTCACAAAACTCATATTATAGACTTATATTTGTGCCCTTTTTCTGATAAATATTATATTTTCACTTTTAATACATATAATACATATATATATACAGCACATACTATGAATAAATTACATTTTTTAATTTGTTAATAACTGTACTTTTGAAAAACATATTTTAAAGTTATAATATTAACTATCAATTAGATAAAATTGACTGTTATAATAGTAATTTAAATTTAAAGTTATAATTAATTTAATGAATTGTAAATTTAAATAAAATGAATATTACACTTAATAAGTTAGTAAGGCAAACAAATATTTAACATTTTATACTTTATTATTGATTTGAATTTGTTTTATTGTTAATTTAAACGATTGAAAGTATAAACTAAAATATTTATTAAAATCTCCTTTTAGATAATAAATAAATATAATAAAATTTAAAATTTTGTTAATATTGTTTTAGTCATAAAGAATTTATATTAAAAATTATTATAATTAATCTAGAAGTTTTAATAATAAATAAATAACTTATTAAAAATTATTTGAAACAAATAGATAAATTGAATCTTTCTTTATAAATTTTTATATACAGTATATCTAATTATACCTATATATATATATTATGATTTTACTATAAACTATATTTTTCAAGTATTTTCTAAACGCTTGCTATCTTAATAAGAATTTATATTTATTATTAATTACTAACTATTGATGTGATATTATTAATAAATAATTTTGTTATATTTACTTAATTATTCATTTCATGGATTTATAATTTGATTCAATTTGTTTGTATATACAATCAAATGACAACTAATTGAATAGTAATGGCAACACTGTATTTGTTAATATTATAGCAATAAATTTGTGAACAATGTATATATGATTTGCAAGTATAGCCCTTTCCATACATACTGGTTGTTATCATTGGTTTGTTTCGTGATTAGACTTAATGAACAAATATATATATATATATTGTATATTTAGTTGCATTTTGTGGCCAATTGTGTGACAAAAGGCAATGTTTTTATACTTTATGCCATAAATTGGATGTAATTGAGTCCAGTATTTGATGGCACCATAGGATTGTGTTTGGCTTTTGAATCTATAGGTCGAGTGTTTAGCCATCAAATTAATGAAAACTTGTTAACCGATTGCTAGCTTTGAGACATAGTTTTATATAAGTATAGTCTATACAAAACCAGTTGAGAATGCTAGAATGCAGAAAGCATTTTCAGACCAACTCCACCTAAATTGATTAAATCATGTAAATATATATTAATTAATTGTTTAATATTCTTTGAGTTTATAAATTTCTTAATTACATTAAAACTGAAATAATAAAATATGCGCCAAATCATGCTGGGTATCAAATCACTAAATATGACAAAATAAACTCAACTTCAGTTATGTAGGGTTTATATGACTCATTAAAACATAATATACTCAACTTTAGTCATTTTTAGGTAATATGTGATTCACTAAAACAAAACAATATTTATTTCAGTATAAGTTTTTTAATGAGTTTTTCATTTTGTCTTATACCTTGTTTTTATAAAGCATTTGAGTATTTGAAGTCTACTTTCTCTCAAAGTTTTGTGTTTTTGTTAACTTTAAAAGTCAAGTATAAGTAGTGTTTTTATTAAGAAATTTTGAAAATACTTTGAGAGATTGCTTTATGAAAACAGGGTATAAATATAGAGATGTAGTTATAATAATTTAAAATAACACCAATATAAATAATTGTTTGGTTATTTTAATTTTTCAACATTTCTACTTATATTTTGATAGTTATTTGCAAATAAAATAAAAAATTTATTATTAAGATTTAGTACAACTTTTTTTTTAAACATTTCATACTAAATTATGATGTTTTATCCTAATCTAAACTTAAAAAGTTATATTTTGAATTTTGGCCGCCATTTTTTCTATATTCCTGATGATCTAGGACAATTTCAATGCTGACCCCCTATACCTTATTTTTGATGTTTTATCCAAATCTGAAGTCAAAATTTCAATATTAAAGAAATCGGACGGAAGGACATAAAGAATTCAGATTCGTATTGATTTCAGGAGTTCGTGAATATATACTGTATATACCAATACCCTTACCAATAGTTTTATTACTATTGTTTTGTTGGACTAGTATTTCGTAAAACTAGTTATTATTTGGAAGCGCTCACCAAATCCCCAGCGATAACACCACTGGTGGCACTGGTATGAGAAATGGTAAGTACTGGTAGCCGACAAAGCAATTATCAATGTGTCAAACGAATAGACACCAAAAACTTAAAGCCAACTGTGCCTCGAATCCAATAAAACTGTTGCATAACATACCCAACCATATAGTTGTAAAACACAAGAGCTTAGGACATAACAAATACAATCTACTGAATACCAGTGCTCTGTACTGTCGAGTTCATCGGTGCAAACGGGCTTATGAGGCATACAGCCAGAGCACCAGTAGATGACAAAACTGTGATATAAAGATCACATAATACAATATTAATGTTTAATATCAAAAAGTCAAACATATTTGTGAAGAAAATTTTTAATGGGATTACAGAGCAAAGCCTTTTCTCATCAGAGATTTTCACAGTTATTATATATATTTTGTGACTTTATTTCTCCACTACTAGTCTAACAAAATGATTAAAATTTTGAGCCTTTCCTCCGATAACTACAGTAGTCTTCATATTTTATGACAAATGGCTCACAAATAGTATATTTGATTATATTTTTTTGTTTATTTTAATTCAACTTTATTTATTGCTAAACATAACATAACAAAACTCATATATTTTATTATATAACATATTAAGTAAACATAACTTTTATTTTAAAAAGTAATTAAAAATATTTTGATTATAGTAGTGTTGTTGTTATACTAAACTAAAAGTTATCAAACATCTCAATTGGGAATTGTGTATGAAATAAGAAAATTAATGTTTTGGTTCAATAAATAATACATTGAAATAAATGTTAGTCCTAAACATATAGACATAGACACAAACATACATTACTGTATAAACTTTATATTAAATACAAAGGAAAGTTAGTTACGGACAGCCAACTGATAATAGCCTATAGGGTTGATATATAAGTTAAACATCAAACTATTGCACCAAAAATTATTATTACACCAAACATATTGTGTTTCATTAAGTTTTGCAGTCAAACACAATTATATCCATTAATAATAAACATTCATTAATAATGATTACTTGTTTTTATCATCAGTCGCGGGACTATTGCTGGCCTATCGGTGTTATTATTAATGATAGTATAGTTTGGGTAAAAATTAATAATATTAGAGTAATAAATAATTAACAAACAAACAAAAAACGCTAATTTATTTATACGTATATTTAATCAACATTTGACACAAAGCTATATAAATTATCCGCATATTTAACTATTAAATCAATATCTTCGCAACGTTTTTGTAAAACATTAGGAATCAATTGGTGTCCATATAGAGCACCCGCTATACTACAGGCCATCGATGCAATAGTATCGGTGTCTCCGCCTAAAGATAAGGCAAAATATAGTGTCCGCACAAACGGATTATCACTTTCAATGTCATCGATTGGCTTTTGCGCTCTCAGTGCACAATAAATAGCCGACGGAACTGAGTTAAGAGCCGACACATCGTTTCCAAAAAGATAAGCCACTCTTTCAGACGACAATCCCTTGATTTTAGACTCATCACTAAATAACTCTTTTATTTTTTTCAATTTATCCGTATATGGAGTCCTCGATAACCCATTAGTATTTAGTCCATCACTTTCTGAATCACTTTCACAACCGTTTACTTCAATTTCATTCATTTTTTCAATTAATCGATTCAGATATAAGTTGATGTCAAACGATTGATCCGTTTGCGATGTCTCGGTGTCTAATGCTAAACGAATGGCCAAACATTGAAGTATTGCACCGTTAAAGCCGTTACGATGTGAGTGTGTAATCCGAGCGCAATTGGCCGCCAAAGAGATCAACTCTTTATCCGATAAATTATATCCGAACAGAGCGGCCGGACTGGTTCTCATAGCTCCGCCGTTGCCGTAACTTCCGGTACCGTTAAACTGATGGCGCGCCGGTTCGTATGGATGTTCATAATTAATGCTATTGAGAGCCGAAAACACGTCCACAACATTACCGCCGTATCCGCGCTTCGGTTCCTTAATATACTCCATTGTAAACTTCTTGGACATGTCTTTGGCGTCAAAACTCTTCATCTGAACAAATGACTCGACCATAGACTTTGTCATTGCCGTGTCGTCAGTATAGGAAAACACCTGAAACACTTCAATCACTGTTATATTAATTACCGATTAGTGACCTCAAAAATATACAAACATTTCGACGATTCCTTCAATTGTTTGTCCATAAAGTTTTGTAAAACAGATCGACTGATCGGATCGTCGCCCTCGAAGGGTGAGCCGAGACAGTCGCCAATGAGTCCACCGACAAGACAACCGCGAAAACGGCTCAATAAGTTGGTCACCGACGCCGACATCCGTTGATTTAACATTTTATGTTATATTTTAACCACAAATTAGTTTCACATTTCACACAATGTTTACAAACATTACACCCATTTGTATGACATCTGTGTTCAATACAGTCATTCATTCAATGATTGAATTTCATTGAAATTCATTGAATTGAATATATATTTCATTAGTCTGTTGTTTTCAAATAGTATTTCACTTTATAATAATTATTATTATTATATCATTAAATACAATAAAATTAAAGAAAATCTAATAAATCATTAGTTTTAATTTGTAAAAAATTGTTAGTAAATTACGGTAATAATTATTTTATTCAATGACTTCAAAACCATTATTTACAGGATTTAAAATTTAAAGATTATGAAACAACATTGGATTTTGTCAATAGATATTATAATGTATTTGAATAATAATAAAATTATTATTAATGATAGAATTATTAATTAATTAATTACTATATTTGGTTATATATTATTCTGTTTCGATGATGAAATCGGACATATCATCGGTTCCAATAAGTTTGAGGTTCTGTTAATTAAAAATCAATAAATTAAAATAAATTGCAATTAAAAATAAATATTCATTCAATCATTACATACTTTTTCGTTACATAGATGAAGAAGTGTGACGAAAGCTATGGGTGCACTCAAGTTTTGAGTCATAATTGGTGTGATTTTTTGTGGTAATGTTTTATACAAATGTGTAAAATTCAAGTTTGTCGGACTTTTTCGCGGTATAGTCAACTAAAATATAAAATAATAGTAAGATTTAATAACAAATATTATTTTGAAACTGATTTAGTTGACCCTCACCTCCGGTGTTGTGGGACTGAGAGGTTCAGATAAGGGAATGATAACGTCCCACATGGCCTTCTTAAGCCTCTTGACGTCCATCTTTTTGGCAAATTTGGCGAAATTTATGAGAATATTTTCCAAATCATACGGTTGTTCTACAAGATTATCGCCAATAAACGCCATATTGGTATTCGTGTTGAGCTGTGAATACGGCTGACTGTGCGCTAAATCTAACGGATCAGTGAAACCACCCGTTGGGATGTCGTCATCGTCATCGTAATCGTAACGCTCCGTTCCTGGAGATGGTGGCGCTCCAAACGAGTTGTCACTGTTGATGGTGGTATCCAATACATCTTCGTGACTTTTGGCGCACTGGAAAGTAGCGTCTGGTTTAATGAAAGATTGTGCCAACATTTTAGGATCAAATCCGTGATCTTGTGGTAATTTAAGTTCATTGTTGTTAGTGGACCACTTCTGAAGTGTAGCCACTTTTAGTTTCTGATCATTTCCACCCATTTGATCTGCCTCTTCCTCATCAAACTCTTCTTTATAATGCTGTTCCGGGAACTGCTTTCTTTGTCGTCGAGGTTTGTCACCATCAGTGCCTTGATTTTCAGTTCGATTTCTGTTCCAAAACGGCATTCGTTTCCAATGAAGAGGTCCGGCCCAAGTACTCAACAGTTTTGGATTAAAATATGTGTAATCGTTTGGTTTATCCGATAACATCTTCACGAGATCTCCGACGCCCTGCATATTCATAGCGCGTATTAACGACTTCTTGACCGTTTCGTCCGTTCCTTCGGCTGCGGCCTCATTACAATCGTCATCATCATTGACATCGTTGTCGAATATGTCTCCTCCGCCCATATATTCATTTTCTAGATCTTCGATATCTTCGACGTCTGCATTCAAATCAAAAGTAAAACTATCTCTTCGTGTGAATGATGGATCTTCTTCACGAGGAATCAGATTAATTCCTTCATCTCTGTTAAGAAACTCAAAATTTGATAATTTGGGACAAATTTTTGTTGAACTTTTAATAATCTCATTCATTAGCGGATAAAATTGAGATACATTTTGCATTGTGGACTCTCTTTGGACATTATAATTGTCAAAATTAAGTGATGAGTTTGAGTCTAACAATAGTAGACCGGATGGATTTAGCTTAAGATTAGCCATTAAAAGAGAGTTAACATTTCCCATATCAAAGGCAGCAGATAAGTGATGAAAGACGGGATCAATCTCTAAATTTGTCTCTAATTTAGTGGCATTTAATGATTCAATATTTTGTGCCAAAGTCTTAACATTTCGTTTAGTTTTCTTTCTCTTTTGTTTTTGCTGTCCTTCTGTATCTTCCAGTTCTTCGTTTTGGTCATCCATTTGATTGTCATCAGCATTCATATCATTTGAACCATTATTGTTGCTGTTTTTCTCATTATTCAAAGCCATCACTAAACTGGAGGCAACTTTCTGGGCTTCGGCGTGAACTGAGTCCACTCGATGACAGTATATCTTAGCGCCGGCATCTAAAGCACTTCCAGCCAACTTGAAGTTAACGCAACCATTTTGTGTATCTTCTCTAATCAATTCAGACATATTGTCAATCAAGTGTAGACCAAATGCATTCTTGGCGTTAATTTTATTAGTTGTCGACATTTCAATACATGTCTGATAGTGTTTTCGGAGTTGTACGCCACTCATTGATACACCCGTTGATGTTGCGGTCGGTGTGGCCGCCAATGCAGCTAAACCGCCAACACTTCGCCGCTGTTTGTCTACTCTTTCTGTCTGTCGTTTAATCCGCTCAATGCGTTCATCTCTTTCACCGATTGGTGTGGCTTTCGGTGCATTAAATCCGAGACTCTTTCGTTTGGAGTACGTCTCGATATCATTGCGATTGAGGACAACGTGAGGGCTAAGAGCCGGTCCAATACTGATTCCTGTCGTGTCCATCGAAATGCCGTTAATTTTGCCGTTTGAAAGTCGGATGTTATCGTATTTGTCACTCTTTTGAACCATTTCTTCGTCACTGTTGTTTGGTTTTCGTTTGGCGCCAATCGTCGACTTCTTTGGTGTTTCTGTTATAATACTGTCTTCAGAGTCGGAACTGATGTATCGTTTGCCACTTTGAAGTCCTTTTGATGGCATTTCCACTGCGAAAAACAACTGTCCGTTTGAATGTCAATAATAGTAACCGACGGAAGAATAACGGCGAGCAATAGGTCACCAAAAGTCTACGATTATGGCCAACAAATGGACTAATTTGCGATTAAAGTCATACCTTTAGCTATGGATCAGTTGTACAGAAGTGACGGCCAAACACGTGATGGACATAATTAATGATTAAATCAATTAATCAATTGTTTGAATCAAATGTTTTGATAATCAAAACAATAAACATTTGTCTCAATGTTTATGCAATAAATGCGCGCAAACTATACATTCATTACATTCATTACAATGCATACAATGGCGCCAATAGTTAACTCAATACAACTGTTCATATATGACGTACACTTTTAAACATATTTATACAGTATTTTCAAGTTATTTAGTAATAATTAGAGTTTGTAATGTTTCCCAAAGGAGGAAAGTTTCCAAAGGAGGAAAGTTTCCAAAGGAGGAAAGTTTCCAAAGGAGGAAAGTTTCCAAAGGAGGAAAGTTTCCAAAGGAGGAAAGTTTCCAAAGGAGGAAAGTTTCCAAAGGAGGAAAGTTTCCAAAGGAGGAAAGTTTCCAAAGGAGGAAAGTTTCCAAAGGAGGAAAGTTTCCAAAGGAGGAAAGTTTCCAAAGGAGGAAAGTTTCCAAAGGAGGAAAGTTTCCAAAGGAGGAAAGTTTCCAAAGGAGGAAAGTTTCCAAAGGAGGAAAGTTTCCAAAGGAGGAAAGTTTCCAAAGGAGGAAAGTTTCCAAAGGAGGAAAGTTTCCAAAGGAGGAAAGTTTCCAAATAAAATCCCTTCAATTTTCACGAAAAATATTTTATTTTCAATCCCTTGATCGTTAAAAAAGGATTATACAGTAAACATTTCGATTTATGCAGTATAGGAAAGCACTGTTTATACTATGCTTATATGAAATCCACTAAAAGTTCATTAAAATAAACAAATTTATTAAATATTAAAAATATTATTTTCAAATTAACTAATATTATACTAATCTTTAATTTATCAATTATATTAATATTCTATCAATTATAAAGATTATTTTAAGAAATAACATAAACATTAAAAATAATAATAACTATAATCACTAATTAATTAATAAGGTTGTGCATCGTAATCAGGAAATAAAAATCAAATTAAATATAAATAACTAAATATAAATAATAACTAAATATAAATAATAACTAAATTTTAATAATAACTAAATTTTAAGAATAACTAAATTTTAATAATAACTAAATTTTAATAATAACTAAATATGTCTGAATTCTATCAACTAATTTTTTAACCAAATTATTCAATTTATTCAAATTAAAAAATAAAAATAATGTATAATTAGAAATAATTAAAATAGTAATATTTTTTGTTATAATTAATAAATAATGGAATAATTTTATACTTTATTAATTTTTAGATTGCTACAAGTATTTAAAAATATTTGTTTATTAATATTTCATAAAAATATAATCATTACATACATTAACAAATACAAAGACAAAATGATTTATTTTATTAAGTAATTTTTCATATTAATTGTTTAAACTTCAAAAATTTAAAAATAATGTTATTATAAACTAATATCTTATAAATAATTTAACAAAATTTAACTAAAATTACAATATTTAAATTAAAAATAACGAATTATTAAAATTAATGTCTATAAATTTAATTATATTATAAGCATTAATGTGATAAAAGTAGTTAAAAAATACTACGTTTTTATTTAATTTTATTAATTAAATTATTTTTATAATCTAGTTTTTAATGATTTCATAACTATTATTTTATGCATTTTTATAATTACACAGTAACTAAAATACATTACCTATAAATAAAAATTAAAATGTTTTAAATAATTAGATCACATTTTTCAGTCAAATTTAATTTTAATATTTTAGTTAGAAAAGAATTATTTAAAATAATACTTAAAACAGATTTCAAAACAAATAACAAAATAAATATTAAGTGTTAATAATTTGCAGGATGATTATTAATTATTAATAATAAAGCTACATTAAATTTCCTGATAACGTTACACCAACCGTCAATTTTTTTGTTAATTTTTAATTGCATTAAATTATCAGAAAATTAAATATTTAAGACACTTTAATATTTATTTATTATATGGTGTAATAATAATTTAATTTTTGAAACAAATTAAGTTAATTAATTAATTAATATATTACTGTATTAGTTGTTAGGTTTTATTGTACCCACTCCTATACTGCATAAATAGAAATGTTTACTGTATATTAAAATTATTACAATAAATATTACCAAAACTTAAATATTTTTTATAATATAGTTTTTGCCAAACACTGGTTATTATAATACATTAATATTAATACAATGCAAATTGTATTAAAAAAAATTGATAATTTTGAATAGATATCGTTAAAACTATTTAAATCTTATTTTTAATTAATTAATAATTAAATAAATATAATTAATAGAATAACTTAAATATGAATGGAAATCACAATTTAATATTTTATCAAATATTATATAATTTAAATTTCAAATTATACTATACTTTACAATTATGTGACTAATATTGCTATTAAAGTATAATAATTTAACATTAATCACTTAACTATGGAAATCAATAGATTAGAAATTAACAATCAATCTAATTTTAATAAAATATTTACAATATTTATTTAGGTAATATTATTATTAACATATTAACAAATTTGCCCATGGTCAAATACAATTTGAATACAATTTAAAATTAAACAAATAATCAAATAAAAGTCTTATCCCTATTTAAGATTATTCTACCCTTTAATTGTATTAAAACTGTTTTTTTAAAATACAAAAATAAAAGTACAGCACTTAATTTGATTTTAACAAATTAAAACTTTGTTTTTTATATAAATTTTAATCTTAATATAATACCATTTTTACAAAATTAATGTTTCATTCATATTATAACCGGTAGTTATATTCAGTAATTATTAAAAAAGTTTTGTTATTTTTATCAATCGATACCAATTCTATGGCAACATTACTGACAAAATATTTGGAATTTTTTATATATTTAATAACAATTATTGATTCAACAATTTATCATAATATTTGATATTTTATATGATTTTGTAGAATATTTTTTTTTTAAAAATTTAAATGATAATATAAAAAGTGATATAAAATATTTAATTATTAGCATAAATATTTTGATGGTCATTTAAAAATAAGTTTTCATTATTTTTTAAAGACAAATCTGCCATAAATATCATGTCCAGTGGTGATGATTCAGCTGATCCAAGTGGTGGAAGAGCTAATGGTATTCTTATACTTATAGTACTTTAATTAGTAAGATTTTCTAGTATTTATTAATATACCAAATGGTTAGCCTATTTGCTAGAAAGCGACGATTGGGATAATATAAAAGCGTTGCCATTACTTGATCTGAGCAAACAAACTGATCCGGAATATAGTAATACGGATGTGTCATCGCTAGCATCGACACGTATCACCTTAACTGTCACTTTAGATCAAATTTTATTTCATTTTCAAAATATTGAAATCGCCGAACAATTAGTAATAAGTTATTACTAATAACAAACTATTATTAAAGAATATTCTTTATATTTATTTAATATACAAAATTTGTGTTTAAATGTAGTCAAGAATACAACCAATTCAGATAAGAAGTGGTTTTTATGGACTAATGTCACGACTCTTTTGTCTAAATCCTCAACGACTGGACTCAAGTTTGTGTGACGAAAGAAATCGTGTTTTTGCCGTAGCGTTGCATCCGTTTAGTAATCACGACGCGATTCAGACTAAATTTTTAATCACAATTTATCAAAAACTAACGGGTAATGCACTGATGGACCGACGTTTCGGTAATCATTGGGAAGACATTGGTTTTCAGGGAACAGATCCGGCAACAGATCTTAGAGGTGTCGGCTTATTAGGTCTCTATCAGCTCTTATACTTTATTTTATCGCCAGAAACAAGTCATTTATGTAAAGAGATCTATAAATTATCACTCGATAAGAGACAACATTTTCCGTTTGCTGTAATGAGTCTACAAATAACAGGAATCAGTCTACAAGTGCTCAGAGAGGGTCTCCTTAATAAAGAATTTAATCAATCGAAATGTGTGATCAAAGTTTTCAATTGGTTTTATTCAGCAGTTTTCTTACAATTGTTTAATACGTGGAAAGAAAATAATAAAACAATTATCGATTCCGGATATGTACTCAAAGGTAATCAATAAATCATTTCAAACTAAATACTAATTTAATTAGTATAACAAAAATCAATGTTTTAGATATCCGAAAACTGGTCCGTAAAGATGTCAAACGTGTTATACTAGAAATGTTAAATTATAAAAACAATTTTCAAACAAATTCAAATTGTAATGACAAAAATACTCAACAAGATATAACATTTACTAATTTGGGAGATATTTTTGAAAATATCGATATTATTGATGAAAATACATCATAATATCACAAAAACTTTTCTTTATATTAAAACAGTTTAATACTTATTTTATTAAAAATAAATTTATGTGAATTAATCTGTTATACGTTTGTATGTCGTAAATATAAAAAGTAAATTTATAATTATAATAATGTGTTTATAGGAATCAATTTAAATATCTAAAAATAAATAAAATATACTTTACAAATGCATTTTAAGGCACTGTCATTATTATTTTTTATACAATATATAAATTAAGGCACTCCATTAAAATAACTTGTTTAATAATAATAAAAATTAAATAAATAAAACTCAATGATAAATATATAACTATATTTGTTTTTAAAAACTAAAATTAAATATTATATATTTTTGCATTTAATAGTAAAATTAATAAAAATAAATCGCATTTAACTTTTGTTTATACACTATTACAGTAATATGATTAACAAATTCACACAAAAAATATTGCAAAAATATTTTCAATGATACCGTAATATATTAATGTGATTGTCATTAGTTTGTTGTTTTGGTAGACTAGAAATATTTGAATTTTAAATATCATTCTTACTTTTGGTAAAAAGTGTCATTAATTACTATAAATTAATTAATGATATAAATATTCAAAAAAGTATTAATAAATACTGTAAAAGTCATATATATTATAAATCTTCAATGATTTGTGGATTACTTTGATTGGATGGCACTACTGGAGGAGTAATCACTGATCGATAAGGTTTCTTAGGTAGTTCTGGAGGAATGCGTGGACTTAATGGTGGACTTAATGGTGGACTCGAGTTGTCGGGTAGTGGCGGAGGTGGCTATAAATTCATAAATTATATTAATAATCTTCATTTTTATTGTATAATTTAAAAATATATATTTACCTTATGCTTCGGCGTTGATGTCATATTTGCTGAATTTCTTTTTGGCGAAACTAAAGTCAAGTCAGTGGTCACACCATTTGTTCCGTTTTCAGGTAAATTGGAATAATCGGCATAAGATTGTTTCACAGGAAGAGGTGGAGGTTTGTCATCAATTACTTCATTAAGTGAATTGGAATGAGATATAGAAAGACTGTTGGAAGAGGCGCCGTGACTTAGGCTACGGGTCGGTGAATGGGTATTATGTGTCCGAAATTGACCACTATTTGGACGACTTAATCGTCGTTCATATTCTATACGTAATGGTCTGTGAGATGTCAAGTGTTCTGAGAGCTCAATCACTGGTCGTTCAGTTGGTTGTTCGGGTTTTGCTAAAAGATCGGGTGCGTACCACATGGGGGCCGTATGGGCGGGGGAACCACTTTCATTGCTCTGTCGTCGTAAATGAATGCCCTCTTTGGAAGCATTGTTACGCTTTAACTTTGATAAAGTACTTGAGCTGAACAATGTAGTTGAAGACTGATTGCTTGAATTGTTGGATGAGTTTTGTTTGACCCAAACAGATATCGAACGACTAGTCTTTCCAGAATTGATTGTTCTTTGAAAGGAAGAATCAATTAATAAAATAATAAAAATGTCATTAAAATACAATAAATAGAAACAAACTTACAATTCATTAGAAAGACTTCCACTGGAGTTTCGGTCGTAGACTTGTCCGGTCGGTGCCGATGAATGTGAATTTGGTATTACGTGTCTCATCTTTTCACTAAATCCGCGTCTAATCTTTACATTAATCTTTTCGGCCAAATCCTCTGGAAGCGATCGTTTACCATATCTTTCTTCTACATTATACTTAAGTTTAGCAAAAGCTTCTTCCATGTGATCGTGAAATGGTCTCAAACTTGGAGGCGCTCTTTCTTTATGAATAGCTATTCCCACTTCAAGCAATGGCATCTGTTCTGCTATTAAGTCTTTGAGTCTATTGATGCCTTCCTGGTCTTTACGAAATGGATGATTGGCTACATATTCGTCGGTAAAGAATGCTTTTTCATAGTTGACAATCCCTCCCATTACGGCTGCGTCGACGATACCATTCAATGCAAGACTCAATGGATTTATTGGAAGATTAGAGTCGGATCGGTATTGAATTATCATTCTTTTAATTTTATTATTACTTTTTTCCATAGTTTCGATCGCATTCTCCAATGGATTTAATTCAAATGTATTGGTCTGAGTAACGGGAAATCGTCTCAAAATTCCTGGCAAAGCATATGATGTCAATAGTTTTGTTCTTTCGATCCACATATTTGCGAACTCGTTATCCGAATCGCGTCCCCCTTTACGCAATGGCCGCGAGTAAGTAAACTTCTGGACTTCATTGACCCGATAGTAGCGGACAATCTGTTCGTGAACTGATTTGCCTCTAAATTTGTCTCTTTCCTGCATAATTGGATCCACTTTATTAATTTGTAAATACTGTCCATTGGATTCGGTAATATCGTCGCCGGGCGGATCCAATTTGGTCATGAGTTGTGCATTTGGAAATTGATTCAACAGACGACCACTAAACTCACTAAGTCTTTCATATTCTTTTCCGCGATAGACAAACGTCTTATTTTGGAGAAATGTGGGAAATCCGCGGCCATAGTACGCAACCCGAAAATATTCGGGTTCGGGTCGGGCCTGTTTCATAATATTATCGTAGAAAACAGCCATTCGTTGTAATAGTGAGCTCAGGTGCATGTAATCAAATATTTCACTTTCGTATTGATATATGATTTCTTTACAATAACTAATACCTGTTTCCCATAGCTTTCCTTTATCGAAGTGTTCAATAATTTCATTATAGAGATGCTCTTTCAGATCCCGGTGTGTCTCACATTCCGGATATTTATTGTTACGTAACAATTGTGGCAACGAATCGTCTGACCATTTGAGAAGTTTTGCATGAAGTGCCAGTGTATAAGCGGCTTCAATATAATTATCGCACTCCAGGTGCAAATCGCACAGTTTGTATAGGTATCTGATATACATTTCTTTACGCTCGATCTCATTGTAAAATTCCAATAGATTTACAGTACAACTCATAAGACTTTCTTTGTTCTCTTCATTAACCACCGATCGGTACTCCAGTAATCGTCTCATTAGTCGAACAACTGTGCGCACAAAGAACAGACCACTTTCTCTCATTGCTGAATGATGTTCACAATTGGTGCCAACAATTTCAAGGAATAGATCTTTGAACTGTTCATCTCCTCTTCCGCCTTCAATAAGTGCGTCCAACTGAGCAATCATTTCATTTTCAAAAAATTTGAAATTTGCTTTGCATTCACTGTTTCTTTGATGGGATGGACTGTCATTACTGTGATAAGAGCCGGAATGTAAAGCATAGGCACCCGATTTGGGTGAATAAAACTCGCATTGCATCATATCGAAGAATATAGGAATCGTAGCCTTTCTCAACTCAATCTCTGGAATAAGACTCATCTCAAGGAATGGTCCGACCATTGATGGCACGAATTGAATCTTGTATTGACCCAAATTAAACCACATCGACCTGATCTCAAAGGCCATCTCTCGTCGCATATCTTTATAGAGAGCAATGATTTTGTTGCGTTTGTTTTGGGAAAAGTTTTCCAATTGAAGGGATTCTTGGGTGAGGAAAGAGATGGCACAGTGAAAGAAATTGTTCCAAAGTTGGACTTCAAACGGATGCAAGAAATGGTCGCGAATGCAATGCGCAAAGTGTCGTAAGGCATTCAATAGGACACTAAATAACAATTATTAACAATTTGTTAGTATTCAAGAACTTCAAGTCAAACACATATCTTAATTGATAACAACAGACCTGTTCTGAAGTAAAATCATTTCATTCCAATCTTTTTGAAACACAATTCGCACCAAATCTCTGAAGACTATCAATATTTCCATAAGAAAATCGAGTAAATCGGTTCGCGTCTGGAAATGATTAATATATTGATTGTAATGATATGGAGTCATTTGGCGCAGAATTCCGATAATAATGGCCACAACATTGCCTATCAATGGATTCTCGCGATCCATGTCTATAAATGACTGAATAACTGTTCGCAAAACAGATAACATTATGTCAGATATATCATTCTGTGTCGGACCGATGTCCCGACCGTTAGACAACACAACCAACATATCACTTAATATTCTAACACAGAGTTCAAACTCTTCTTTACGCTCTAGAAGTACTCTCAAGTGATCGTTAATAACTGGCAATAGTATTGACCGGCAATCGGCATATTTGACAAACAGTTCGCAGTGAACGATGTCATTGACGCACATCATCTTCTGTTTGGTCAATCTGTCGACCGGAACATTGTTGATGAGATCAGTCAATATGTAACACAAGTCTTTCTCATTGAATACACAAAGAATATCTGTCAGTGCAAATGGGAAGTACTTAAGACACGCGCCCTGAACTAACAGTGTATTCTCCGATGTGGACAACATCATCGATGTAATCGATTGGAGCAACTCTTTTAGCGACTCTTCAAACTGTATCTTTCCTTTGCCACCATTTAGTGCGGCAAACAGTATCCGTGATCTGACAATGAATTTAAAAATATATTCGAGTGATTTCATAGCGCGAAGCAAAACATCTTGACTTTCGGGCATTAAATTGACTTTTTCGATATAACTCTTGAGTACAACAATCAACTTATTGTAAACAAGAGTAGCGCTAAAGTTCTGTTCGATGTATAGGTCCAGAACAGGTCGAAAATGTTGATATTTTCGATCAGATATAAGACCGATAATAAATATAAGCGCTTCAAAAACCAAATTGTCGTATGTATCAGAATCAGTGTTTTCCATAAGAACTTCAAAAAGAGCATCGAGTGTGTCCTGAAGAAATTTAACCACTTCTTCGCCGTCCACTTTCATTAGTGCCAAAAGATTTGATTTAAGATTTTCTGGACTTGATTTCCACTTCAAAAGACCCAAAAGATCGATATTTTGTGTCAATTTTGTCGAACAAACGACCGTTGATATAGTAAACAAATCTCGAGGACTGATTTGGATACCATTTGCCTGAAACATGTTTGTTAACTGTTTGACTCCAATCTGATTGATATTATAATTAGAATTCATAATTTTCTTCTCCATCTCTTCACGAGTCGACGGAAAGTTAAGATATGAGACATCTTTTTCATCCCATTTCTTATTGTCCACTTTATAGACAAGTAAATCATGGTTTTTATCAGACATTGTCGTTCCATTTTCATTCATCAGATTCACAAAAGACATGGCAAAGGGTTTCTCAATTTTATCTTTATTATCGTTAGAGGATCGGTGTCTAAATGTAAACTTCAAATGTCCGCCATAAAACTCTTCGATGGCAATGGTAATCTTCAGTGTTTCCATCCATTTGGGTCGTTCTTCATGATAGTAAACCACACTTTTGTATTCAGTCATCAGTTCAGATCCGGCGCCAAAACTTAAACAGTTTTGTAATGTCTGTCCCTTTTCATTACACACTTTGACAGTTACCTCAACATTGCGTTCAGATTTTTTGCTTCCTTTGCTAAATTCTCCGCTCACTAAAGTAAGATATAAATCGTTGCGAATATCGCCGGGAAGTATAACTTCCGGAAACCCCATTTTCCGCGCAACAGACGTAAATGGCGAAACCAGATGTGCGTACTCTTCACGGATCTGTTTCTGGTCGCCGTGAAGTAGTTTTATCGATAAAAACAATCCCTGGCCTTTGCATTCTTTCTGACTGATCTCTCGGGCCGAAATCATTTTGCGAATAACAGTGTCTAATGAGTCTCTTTCAGCGCACTGTGAAAATGGTATAAAATGTTGAGCGTCTTCATTGGTCTCAATTTTGCCATTTAAGAAATCAGTTATGTCCATCGCTTCAAAATTTATGTCATATATAATTTGAGTTAAATTAAAACTAAGTAATAATATTTACATACCCGCGACACCAAATGGTCGTCTCAATCCATCGGAAGCTCTTTTCATGTTTTGGTGATGACTTTTCCGTACATTTCTTTGTTCTTCCTTTAATTCCATTCCTCCGATACGTATTGTTTGGCAAATCAAATAAACCTTTTCGCGCGCCAAATCTTTGGTTCCAAGATCCTAAAGTTGACACCAATTAAAAACATCAAACAATAATTATTAATCTTTGATAGTTTCTCTTAAAAAATTTACCGCAAAAACAACTCTAAGATTGTTAAGCTGATCCAAATCTCGCATAAGACCCTCTTTTCCCCACTTAACCAAATAATTTTCACTAATAAAAGTACACTCTTTGCAGTCATATAAAGTCATCAATAGATCAGCGTCTTCACCGATACGACAAACAAAATTTCTGACCGTAACATAAAGATTATGATTGTAACGGGTGGACGACCGCTTGTTTTTTATATCAATATTTAAGGCCAATTGTTTGATTCTTTCAGTGGCCGCTTCGTGAGCTCTGTATAGATCTATAGTACTGGTAATCTCGGGATTTAGTATATTTCCCGATTCGTCTCGAACCACAAGATCGAGAATTAATATACTAAAATGCAAGACATTTATGGTTTAATTTTATGATAACTTAAAAAACTAATCGTATATGTCTTACGCATTTCCCTGATCTATCTTTGCGGTGACTTTTTGCTTCAATTCTTTCATTTCATCGGCCGGCAGAGTACCGGACATTATTTGCTTTCTCCATGTAATCAACTCATACATCATCTCACGGATCACTTTGAAGTTCGGATTTGATGTCTTCATATTAAAGGCAAAAAAATCATATCATTATTAATAATAATGAGTAAAGACATGTAAAATATCAATGAAATCATAACATACAACATAAAGCTTTGTCCAAATAACACCCCATTCCCTGATAACTGATGTGATCTCCTGAATGATAGGCGGTTCCCGAGGAATAACAACTTCGTGAACACTTTACATGTAAACAACAAATTATTGGAAGTAATTATTATAAAGTTGCGGCCAATCTATAAATACCCGGTATTGTCGACAACGGCATCCTTGATGAAGACATAGTTCTTGGGAAAAATGCCCAAATAGTTGCGATCACTGAGACAATGGCCATAATACCAATCACCACACTCTTCAATGATACGGACGGCGTCACCGATAGTGAGGCGGAGTCGATGCGGAAGTATTGGCTTTAGATTTGACACAACTGTTAACAAACAAAATATAAAAACAATTAAGACATTAATCTGACTATCAATTGAAAACAAGTGATGAGTTGTCGACAATAAATACAAACCAATTCCGTATTTGTCACTATCGGCTACCGGTGTCCACTTTGTCATCATTTTTGGCCACTTGTCATCCGATAGTATGGATTAGATTAGAGGCAACTTTATGGTATGTTTCACATACATATACACACACATACACTGTTGTTGACTACTGTTGGGATCAGTTTAAGTGATTGATGTGTCACTTGAATACCAGTTGATAGACAATCAATGGCTTAACCAGTGATTTACCAGAGAATGTGTTAACTATTAGTCCCAACACTTGACTCTCAAACACTGTATTATCTAATCAATGCATTATTGACTAACACTTTAATGTCTATACACTCTATAATGTTATGTCATTTAAAAAAAGCTATGAATTTTCCAATACATTCAATGTTTATGTTATTCAGTCAATTCAATAGCAGTCTCTCTCTCTCTCTCTCTCTCTCTCTCTCTCTATTCAAGCGAACGGATATTCAATGACTCTCTCTCTCTCTCTCTCTCTCTCTCTCTCTCTATTCAAGCGAACTCTCTCTCTCTCTCTCTCTCTCTCTCTCTCTCTCTCTCTCTCTCTCTCTCTCTCTCTCTCTCTCTCTCTCTCTCTCTCTCTCTCTCTCTCTCTCTCTCTCTCTCTCTCTCTCTCTCTCTCTCTCTCTCTCTCTCTCTCTCTCTCTCTCTCTCTCTCTCTCTCTCTCTCTCTCTCTCTCTCTCTCTCTCTCTCTCTCTCTCTCTCTCTCTCTCTCTCTCTCTCTCTCTCTCTCTCTCTCTCTCTCTCTCTCTCTCTCTCTCTCTCTCTCTCTCTCTCTCTCTCTCTCTCTCTCTCTCTCTCTCTCTCTCTCTCTCTCTCTCTCTATTTTTCTCTCTATTTCTCTCTCATTTTACGTTAATTACAATACAAGCCTTTCCCATATACTATACTCAACCCACTAATTGCATTGATTGACAACTTTTGATAACTATTTGATAAAAAAATAATAAAAAATAAGATTTGATTTGTTTAAATGGCAATTAGATAATTATGTGAATATAATACAGTATTATATTATTGTTTGAAAAGCCAATGGGATTAACAAATAAAACTACTGTTAAGTTTACAACCTATACGATGGTTATCAAAGGTGTAATAATAATAATAATAATAATAATTATTATTATTATTATATACATTATAGGCTTTAGTCTAACATTAAAAGAAAAAATTCAAAACTTATGATTTGTTTTTTGTTCACTCAATTGAAACTCAATTCAAATGAAAAAAGTTTTTTATTTTATAGAAATATTTTTACTTCAATTTGAATGCAATTATATTTATGTATTGACCTCTAGTGGCAAACATTGCATATATTTATTTAAGTGTTAAATAAATAGTAATTTGGATTTAATGTGATGTCATATCATATGTTTGTTTGTTGTGTTTGTAGTGTTTGTGTCAACAATATTGTCAACACATTGTTTGTCATGAAATCAAGTGATTTCTAGATTTATTAGTTGATTACCGAAGACATCACTGATTATTATTATTATTACTCTTGTGTTTTGCCAATCAATTGAATGCAACAATTATGTCAAAACTGTTGCCATCGAAGAAGACACTGAAAGAAAAGGTAGTCCAACTCTACGAGGCTTTGATTGAGGTATTTGTGTTGTTGACCATCGATGACAACTGTCATGATTTAGTGATATGATTGTTATGTCTTAGGGAAGGGAACCGTACATCGAAAACAACAACTTCTGGAATGAATTCTTCTTATTAAAGGTTTTTAACACATAATGCCATTACTTAATGAATGTTTGACTAATTTAATTGTTAATTGACTTTTGATGTCTTTGTTAGGCCAATGGACAGGCATTTGACTCAATCCTTAATGCCATCAATAATGTGTCGACTATTAAACCAGTTGTTAATCTCATGTCTACGCAATGTATTGTTGCCATTAAAAGTGATAACAACTTGCGTGTGGCTAACAGTCTTATTGTATGAATTTTAATTCAATTTTAATTATTATTATTAAAAGATGATAATATTTTTAAATATATTTGGTTTCAATAATAATTTGCAGACATTATGCAGTCTATCAAAAGTGATTTCCGACAAATGGCGCCAAAGTCATCCAAAGTTTGATTTGATTGATCATATCATTGGTCGCGAAGATCTCGAGCTTAAGACTCAAGTTTGTCTCTTAAAATTTACCATTTATTATATATTTAACTAATTATTTAAATATTTTTAAAAGATTTTAATAGAGACGTTGTGTAACATACTTATCAATGAACTTCCTGTATCTCTCAAGACATTAGTCATAAAATTTTTCTTGATTTTAGTTACGGTTAGTTTATATATATATATATATAATATATATATTTAAAATTATACTATTTTTATATAATTATTAATTATTATTGTTTAATTATTGAACTCAATTATTTATATTTAAGACTCATGAAAACGTTAACAAGAATCCACTCATAGATTTATTAATATCGGATCAATTATTTGATGCATTAATACAAACTCTTAATGTTCATCGACAGCGTCACAACTATGGCTATCAAATGATACTTCTTTTAACAATTCTTCTAAATTATCGTAAATATGAGGTATTTAAGCGATATATAAACAAAATAAATATATTTTTAAATAATGTTTGTTTTGTATTGATTTTATTTACAAAAGTCAATAAATCCGTATATAATGAAGTTATCGATAGTTGACGATGAGGTTCAACTTAATGTAAGCCTGAAATTCAGTTATTCTATATTAACTTATTATTACTACAATATATTTTTAGGGTTACGCTAGAGTAATATCAAATGAATTATTAGTATTCAATAAAAACTTTCATCAAATTAATAATGAATCCAAACCAAGTGGACTATTTAATACATTAACAAATATGGTACTAAATAATTAATATACTGTATATACTGTATTTGAATATCTAGGATTACTTCATTAAATACATTATTTGCACTTTTCATTATTAGGTCGGAAATATGTTTATTGCTGAAGATAATGGTATTGAAGCAAACAGTTTGAAGACAAATAATGCAGTTTTATTGGCTTTTTATGAAGCCATTCATCTGAATAGAAATTTTATTACATTACTTACAACTGTACGTATTTTAATTTTTAATAATACTTCAAAATAAATGGTATATACACTATAATTATTAAGTTATATTAAATACAATGATTGCAATCTATAATTTTTAGTCGCCTACAGAAGTCTATGCTATTGCTAATGAAAGTACCGATACATCCAATCAGATAAATAACGGTAGGATTAGTTACGATAACTATTTTTATTTGGATTTTAAAGTGACAATAACTTAATGGTTATTAATCTATTGTGAAATTATTAAAAGACACGTTAGAGTCGATACAAAGTCCGCCCTCTAATCTTTTGGTGGCATTTCTTCAGTTTTCATCCATTGTGATGATCCACACGAAAGGTATGATTTGTAAATATTTTGTAAATTTATATTGTTTTGTAAAATTTTAGTACAATTTATACTTTATTTCCAACACATAGATGAATCAATATTGAAAACATCGCGTCTTTGCTTCATTATCCTCACCTGCATTACTGAAGATCAATGCGCTAATGCTATTATGCACGATATGAATATGCCTTTTACTGTACAATTGCATCGTATGGTTAGTATAGAAATGCCATTTAATGTTACCTTTTTTTGATTATACCATTAGATTAATATTGATATTTGTTTGATTTACGGGAACAGCCAATGAGACACAGGAAAGTGAATCCTCAAAGTACAACCTCACGACCGCTTTCCTACTCAGTAATGGACTTAATGATTGAGTTTATGCTAACCCATACCCGCAAGAATCTACTACTAGATCTATATATGTTATGTATTGGAGTAATACATCGACTATTATGTTATCAAAAGAAGTGCAAAATACGTGTAGATTACGCGTGGAAAGAGCTTTGGACGGCATTAATAACTTTATTAAAGTTTGTTTTGTCCAACGAATCTGATCTATTAAAGAAGTGTAATGTGTTTACATTGGCCATCAATGTGGTCAATATATTTAATTTGTTTATAACATTTGGCGACACATTTTTGCCATCACCTCAAGCTTACGATGAACTCTATTATGAGATCATTCGTATGCATTCAGTCTTTGAACATCTTTACTCAATGAGTATGTAATTCATTATATATTTATTAGTATAAAAAACTAATTACCAATAATTTTTTGGCCACAAAGCACTCCGATATGCATCCAATGAAAAGGCAGAGTATAAAGAGTCGGCCACAAGACTAGCATCGACTTTAGTCAATATAAAAGCCATAATAAATCATTTCAATACCAAAATCGAGTCATACTCTCTACAGAATCAGTTGTCATCATTGACTGAGGAACAAGTGTTGGATGTGGTGCGCAATAATTATGACACACTTACTCTCAAATTGCAGGACAACTTAGATCAATACGATAGATACGATCCCATCAAACAATGCGAATCCAAGTTTTTTAACGATTTGTTGAGATTTGTTATAAATGATTACAGAAAATCATTGAACATAACATTGAACGCTGAAGAGCAGCACATTTTGATGCAAGACTTGCAAATGATGTCTAATCTTTGCAATGCAATAAATGGAGATAATATTTGACCGGTGATGACCATCAATATTGATGATCACTAAAGCACTTGCCAATAGCTTATGCATATCGATTATAAGCCGATTTAAAGTATATAATTTATTTTTTTGTATTATACAATCTATTTATTAATTAGTTTTTTATGTATTTTTAATGATTAATAAAATTATACATATATTTTATTAATAATAGTTAAATATTTTTTATTATTTATAAAATTAATGAATTTAATAATTGCCAATAACTGTCAATTATTTTCCACATTTGAAAGTTGTATTAAGAAAATTTATTAATTAAATACAAGACAACTATCAAAGTACAAAACTGACCGAAAATTCATACAAAAATTCATATACTTTTGATATAAAAATTGAAGTTATATTACTGTTCGTAAACGTTACTAACCCCAGTGTCTATATGCGGGGCAATATGTGAGATACAGTCCAATACCAAATTATTGATTTAATCAATTATAAAATAGGCCCACTATTGAAATTATTGAAGTTTTTTGAATGCCTGTAATTAACCCCTTTTTAAGTAAGTCTTCTAATGGTTACCGATCTATATAATGCCAAATACTAGCCTACAAATTGGTAATCTTTAATTTAATGATGGTAGAAAACTAATTATTGTATTAATTATTTTTTCTATCATTACTATATTATCATTTATTTAATTTTAAATTATCTTTACAATAATAGATATTGATTTGCCATTAATAGTTTCTGATTGCAATAGATAGGTCTTAACATAACAGCCATACTAATGATAATATTTAAATATTACTTATAAAAACAATATTAAAGATAACAAATATCGAGAAAACAAAATTAACCATGGGGATCCCATAAATAGAAATTTCTTTTAGAAACTTTCTAGAAATTTCTCTATTATTTTATAAATTTCTCTTTTTTGCCAACACTAAAGAGTATATACTACTCTATCCCCTAATCCTTTCATACACCCATGACTTCACTTTTTGCACCAAATGGTGGGACATATTTGATATTTATACTCATACGAAATATATTTTTTTTTAATTTTTTGTGGTTATTTGAGAACACATACGGTATATGTAAAATAAATTAATGTAAAAATTCATAATTTAATAGTTGCTATTGACTTATTTTAAAATTACTTATATTATGTTAATATAATGTAATGTAATATATAAAATAAAAAATATTATTTAAATTGCATTTTAATAAATGTTTGTATTACTGAATAATACAATTGTTGAATAAATGGTTGTCTTTGAGATTCATTTTGTTTACCAATAGGACCCAACTTTTGTGAATCAAATGTTTCCTCGACTTCTAGCCGTGGATTTCTGGTCGATCTCCAAATATAGTAAAACGGTTTCGGATAGACATACTGTTTACAGATTAAATCAATGCAAAACATCAAAAAAGTATTATTATAGCTAAGAGTATTTCAAAATTAAATCTCAATATTTGGTTTAATTTTGTGAAATTATTTTTAAATTAATTTACTTTTTCTTGATTGTTGTTTTCGTCCAAATTGTTGATTTTATTCGTTAGTTTCTGATTATTGTACTGTAATTTACTCATTGGTTTATCCACTGATTTTTTCCACAATGGTTTTGATGGCCTAAACCTTTTCGGCATATCTGGTCACTCATTGGTTGTCCACTTATTATATCAATAGAAATAAGAAAATATTGATATTTAAAACTATTTATAAATTCACTTAAATTAATATTAAATATCAAAATAACTATTTTTGTATATTATATCGCAAATATCATGCCTCAACCGGTTTTTATATTTATATATCCAATTTATCATATATATATATATATTATATAATATAAATGTTTAATATCTAATTGCCAAATATATAATAATAATTACTTATGCGTACAAAAAAATAATTGCAATATATTTTTAATCGATTGCTTCATATGTTTTTGTTTTTAAATTAAAATTTATGTCATCGTAAATTAAATTATTATACAAATAAAATTTATTTTCATTAAAATTTTTATCTAAATAGTTATCTTAAAATTTATTTAATAAGTAATAAACATATTTATGATGATAAACTCAAGCAACTTAAACTAATAAAAATTATAATTTATTCATTAATTTAAAATTATTGCTTGAAAATATATATCGGTATTAATTATTTGAATATATATTTGACGATTACTTAACTACAGTATTATAAGATACAGTATTTAATTTTAAATCAATATTACATTATATTATCAATTAAATGAATCATATATTTTATTTTTGTTTTCTTTATTTTTTTAAAAATGTGAGTAATTGAAGCACAACTGCCTCAAGAAGTACAATATTTGATCAATTTTTATGTAAAAAATTAGTTGAATTGTGTATCAATACATTTAGTTTAGTTGATAAATGAGTGAAAAGCACTCAACAATCCTAAGGCAACACCTATTTTGAATTATTCTTAACAACAATAACACTAAAACTATAGATTATATGCAAATATAGCTAAACATGTTTTATATAAAATGTGATTAAACGACAATCTAATCATCAATAAAAATAATTGTAATAATAATAATAAATTTATTATTATTATTATTTTAGCATTCAATGCAATTTACTACATAACAAGTTGTAATCATAAAATTATTATACTTGTAGTACAGTATATCAATACAGTATGTCTATATAATTTATAGTTTTATACTGTAGATTATATATCTATTTTTTATTTATAAAATAAAATTTATTTTTAAATAACAACATTTATGCCAAAAACGTCAAACATCAACAAAAAATCTCACATTTTTATTACATTTGATTTTGATAACAAAATTTTTTTGTGTCAATACATATAATGATAACTTTTGGGTTCATTAAAAACTTATGGCCTTTTGGGATGAGATTCACTGTCTGTCTCTAATATTAAAGAGATTTTTATGTTATTGTACAGTATATTATATATATGATACAGTATAGTGTATGCTGTGCTCTATAAACTCATTGACAGTCAACTGTTTCCCAATAATACCAGAGTTCCTCTATTTTTCAATGATTTATATATCCATTCATAAGAAATCTTTGCTTTTATTGATTTTGTTGTCTTTAAGGGTGAATCCAATTCTTTCTTTTATTTCTTAACATTTTTTATTTATTTATTTGTTGTTTGACTTCAGCCACTTTTTTTGTGTCAGACATTTGTCTTTGTTTTGTATTAAAAATATTGAATTTTAAATTATTAATATATTTGTTTTGAAAATTGAATATAAAAAATTTGAGAATTAAATTTTTGATTAAGTTTTTATTTTGCGAACATCAAAGAGATGATAACATTTTCAAAATTACATCCAAATTGATAGCTACTAATGAATCAAATTAAGTGCTTTTCATTTTAATTTACATAAATGTCTAAAATTTTATTATGAATTCAATGGGCAGAGGAATCTCTGACATAAAATATCATTAAATAATTGAAACACTAAAAGACGTCTCTTTTATGTTTAGACATACATTGATAGACATCTGGAAAACAATGATTTCCTGAAAATTTTAACAAAAGCTTATATACCACTAAATATATACTGAATTATATAATATATATATTGTCTAATAATGTTTAGTATTGATGACAATTTAAAAGACCATTTCAATGGATGTAAACATACTGTGTATTCAATGACTTTAACTTCCGTTTGCGACAAAACTAAATATAAATGAGACTCAAATAGTCATTGATTTGGCCACAGATTGTTGAGGCAAATGAAAATCCATTTACTGTTAGACAATACAGAGATATTCAATTCAATTGATAACTCAAAACATCATATAAATAGCCGATTAATCCATTTATTGTATGCATAAAAGTTACAATATTATAAAAAATATTATTTCTAGATAAATATATATTTTTAAATTTTACAACAACTTTAAGTCTAATAATTTTGACAGAATATATCATAGTTTACCAAAAAACTCATTATTTTGAATTTAGAAATTTGTGATATTTAAAACATTTTTATTCCAGTTTATACTTTATTAAATAATATATTTTACTTCAAACATTTTATTAGATAAAATATAATAGAATTAAAATATATATATATATATATTATATTACTGTATGAGTGACACTTTTTTCATAATTTCAATGTACTGATCATTGTGCATGTATTTTATATATATAATCAAATTTAAATATTTAAATTGTCATTTATGTATATCAATTTGAATCATTATTTTAACAAATTATATATTTTGCAAAATTAGTAATATACAGTACTATACAATGTTCACAAATTGCTATTTTTAAAAGAGATTAATAATGATAAAATTTAGAGTAATATATACTTAATCATTGTATTAAATATAGACATACAAAACTTAAAATGTAATGTAAAATTTAGAAAATAAATCTCAATAAATTTTACTTTGTTTTTGTGGTATTTATTTTTCTGATAAACTTATTTTCATTTATTACACTTTAGATATAAAAAAATAATAGCTTTTATCAATTCTTTATTGAAACTAATGTTTATAATCTTATTTATGGACTTTATATAAGTGTATATAAAATTATACTTATTTTATATAAATCAAAGTTTACTTTTTATTAAAATGATTTAATAGTTAAATTATATTTAAATAAAATATTTAATAAAAATTATAGTATGATAAACATCAAATTTATATTAATCGTAAATTATTTAATACAAAAATAACATTAGTAATGATATAACAAAATAATACATTTGATTTAGTAAAAAGTTATAAATTTCAAATATATTTAGTTTTTTACTTTTCAAACAAAAATTCAATAATTTGTGATCAAAATGTGAAAATATGTCAAATTTCTTTCAGTGGAGACATGTATTTGTAGTTAAAAATATCTGCAACACAACAATAAGTAAAATTGTGATTTAATATATTATAAAGTATTGCCTTATGTTATCATACGGTATATAACATTTGATATATGAATTTACTAATACTTTTACAATTGAAACTGAATCTCAACAATCTGATTTTCAAATTTATTAAATAGTTTTAAAAAATTATAGTTAAAAGATGATAATTAAAGTTCAAGAAAACGCATATTTTGAAA